CACATAAAGTGACGTCACATTTGAATTTGTAAAAATATTTCCCAAAAATAAGATAGGATTAGGATTGATCAAAGATTAGATTTGTAATACTGACATTACATTTATTAATAACAATGAAAATTACAATACTTATTAATATCAAATGGTAGTAATTATATAATTAATTGTATTATCTAAATATTATATAAATGTGCAGAATGTATAGGTGCTGAATACATAGTAACAGTAAATATTCCAACTAAACATTCGTTAAACCACTTTACAAAAGTAAAATACATTATACGTATCTTATTATACCGGTATTGTATGATTAGGTTTCGAGCAAAAGATGGCACTCGATACCAATGACACATCTGAAGTAATATTGCATTGAAGTATTTCTTACATATAATGTTGTATAAACTAGATATCACATGACGAAGTAAATCTTTAAAGTTTATGATTATCATAAAAATGTACATGGATATTTAGTAATTTTATCAACTTGTCTCAGTGCCAGCCAGACGAACTTCATACGTATATTTTATCTATTTGATTATACACGATCTTTATATTTTTATATATTTTTGGCTCAGTTCCAACTAAATTAAAATCTTCCTTAAGATTTTAATTTTTCGAAAGTGCAGTTGTATTGACTAGATATGTTATTATGACGTAGTAAAACTTGGCTAAGTGCCAGCGGATATTATTAGTTTTTGGCTAAGTTCCAAATAAATCATCACTTCGACATTATCGATTTTTTTTTCACAGTAGGTATAGTGCCCGGCTAGGATCGTGTTTTCGAGTGATTTGATCGGGGTTTTTTTTCGAGTGTGACCACGTTTTTTGAGTGAATATGTTAAAAAATGTAAACAAACATACATCCATTCTGGTAAGACGTATAAAAGGTACTAGAATCTAATATACAAGATCAAACAAGGTAAATAAGTATTTGCGATAAAAACCCTACATTATTTTTGGTTAAAAACGTTTAGTTTATCCTTACAATGCTTATTCCAAAATATAGACTAAAGCCATTTTTATGCACATACCAATGCAAATGTCAAAGGAAATGCATACGTGGAATCTATATAAACTTAGATATATCGACACTTTACAAAAAGTACTGTTATTGTACTGATAATGACACTTTGGAGAGTAAATTCATTTTTATATGTCCGTAGTTTTTTTTTTCGAGAGCAGTATGTGTTTTTTCGAGTGCGTCCATGTTTCATCGAGTGAAAACGCACAATTCCTATGGCTAAGATTTGTAATATGTCAGTGCATTTACGTTTAAAAAACAATGTAAAAGGTTCAAATATATTACTTTACAAAGCACGAAACCAATGCATTAAACCAGTTTGATAATTCTGTACATTTCATAAATTGCCACGTTCATTTGTATATGTTTTATAAATTTTGGCATTTTGTAGAATGACTTAAAACTTAATCGAATTATGACTATTGAACAGCGGTATACTACTGTTGCCTTTATTTAAAGCTTGCAATTTAAGAGTTATAATAATTAAAATTAAATTCTACTGAATAATTCAAAATTCCCACAAGCACCGAGCTCGAAAATTATTTGTTATTTCATATAATCTTTTGATGACAGGATCTGTTACACATTTGTCCTGGTTATTTTGCAAATACATTGTTTGGCGTAAAATCTGGTCCTAGTACTACAACCACATTTGGTGAAACCCAGACCATTACACATTCAGCTTTGTCAATATGTTTAAGGATTAAACACTTAACGTTTGTCCAACATTGACCAACATTGGGTTTTGCAAAATGAATATCTTCTTTTGCATGTTTTCCCAACAGGTTCAAAGTCACATTACCATGAATAGGTTGACTGACATCTTTCTGCTTATTAGAGCTTCTAACAGGCTGAGGCAGATATGCGCAAGTCGGGTGATGCATCCATAGCAGGCGACGCTTACCTTGTATGTAAGCTTTATTTGTTTCTTCTTGGTCGATTTTTACGATTTTAACAATTGTTAACAACTGCCTGTAGACAGTGAAGATGAAGAAACTCATATTTTTGCATCACAACTAAAAGATTATTTATTTCATTGTTTATCAAAACATTGGATAAGTCCCCGAGGTTATCACAGTTAAGTAGTCAAAACTTCGGTACTGATATGATATATTTCAAACCTTTCTAAAATAATTTATCTCCAAGGGGGACGTGGGAATAGAAATATGGTCACTTAGGTCCTCTGTCGACCGGCAGTAATAAAGTTAAGTAAAAAATTCTTTCATAGATACAAAGGTTTGATTAGTAAATTTGGCTGTACCTGTAGAAAACTTATCACATCCTAAATTTTACGGTAATATTGTACTAAAAGCGCGGAAATCACTATGTGATCCGTGTAAACTCATCGTAACCTTTAAACAAACTTATTAGTAAAGGTTATCTTACCAATGTTGTAATTAGATCTTTGAATATAGTTTACATTGGCACAAATATCGATTTTGTCATCAGCAAATTAAAACAAAACTAAATTTGTATTCTTTTCAAACGGCTTTTTGGGATGTATAAATACACATCCACGTTTATTTTCTTATATAGAGATTACTCTATCTATATATTACATTATACATATTTATTAACAGGTTAACTCCTAACTATCCAACTGCCTGTCGATACTTTTATTTTGGCATTGCACACGTCATGTCTGATTTGACTGTCCATGACGTTGAAATACTAAATCCCTGGGATGTGTTTAAATTGATTTAAGTCTCTGATGCATGATTATTTATTATTAATTGTTTTTGGCTTTTAACTAGCTTTTAGTAACTGCGAGTACTCTCAAATCGTACTTTCGTGTTAATTTGACCTGTTGATACAATTTGTAATGTATTTTTGTTATTTAATGTTTACTTATTCAGTGTTATATCTAGTCTCACTATTCTAAATATATACCACCTTTGATTAGTGTTTTGTATGACGATAAATCATCACTTTTTTTCTCGTACTAGAAACAACAAAATTATTTATTTTGTTAAAATTATTTCCGTACTCTATGTATACCTTACAACAAAATTATTTGTATTTACCTGTGTGCGTTATTTTATTTGGCGGCATTTTGTCCAAGGTTATGGCTGTCTCTCTGGTATTGTTTTACATCTAACACCCTTGTTTTATTAATTTTGTATTTACATTGTGTCATAGATCAAATTTATTCGTTTAGTGTATGTTCACTTGTTTTTGTTAATATGTCTTTTGATTGATATTTTATAGTGTGTCTTTCTATGTTGTGATGTTATACTATTGTATCAGGTAGGACGAAGGTTGGCACCTATTTAAACCCGCTGCATTTGTTTGCACCTGTCCTAAATCAGGAACCTGATGTTCAGTGATTGTCGTTTGTTGATGTGGTTCATAAGTGTTTCTCGTTTCTCGTTTTTTATATAGATTATACCGCTGGTTTTCCTGTTTGAATGATTTAACATTAGTAATTTTTGGGGCCCTTTATAGCTTGCTGTTCGGTGTGAGCGAAGGCTCCGTGTTGGAGGCCGTACTTTGACCTATAATGGTTTACTTTTACAAATTGTGACTTGGATGGAGAGTTGTCTCATTGGCACTCATACCTCATCTTCTTATATCCATGTACATATAAACTGCCACGTCCGATCAGAATAAGGTGTGTAGAGAGAGTGCCACGCTCTCTGCACGTTAAAGATCCTTGCAACAACTCTTTCTGGGATCTGTAGGTTGCCTGTTGTAATGCAAAATTTCTGTCCCTATCCAATATACCTTCATTTTAGAGTGGCAGTCTAAATTTCCCGACCTTCATCCCCAACGACCTCTATAACAGGACCTACCTATTGTATTTATTGTTAATATGTTCTCGTCCTGAGTGAACATGCATGAATTATTTGCCACTGGATGTTAAGCAACCAACAATTAATCATCTAAAGTTGTCCGTTTATAAATTTAAAGGTTAAAAATTATAAAGAAACTAAGGTTTCAACTCCCTCAGGCAAAGTTGAACCTTTGATGGATTAGGCTATTTTTAGGTCCTTTTTGGTCATATAGCTCTTCAACACTTTCGGTTCTTATGGCTTTCAAATATTTGGCCTGGAGCGTTCCGGATGAAGGTAAATCCAGAAAAGCGCTTCATTTTTTATTAGATATTCGTTCAATTGTTATTGCCAATGGGGAAATAAAACATGGGCGGATTAATCGTGTTTTTTTTGGGTTTTTTTATTGTTTTTCAGTTTTTGTTAATATAGGAGAGGCCTCTATTTTTAGAATATTTGTGTTTAAATTGAATTTTTCGGATTTTTTACTGCTATTCCTCATTTTTTTTACCCCTTTTTTTTAAATTCAGGGGTTCACTTCTGTAATATTTATCAATCATAAAATATCATTGACTGGTAAAACAAAGGTAGCCTGAAATGAAATTGTAAAGGTTATAGGTCCCCTGTACTCGGTTCTGAAGACCGTTTTGAAAAGGACCCAATGATTTCTTATATATCGTAATACTACAATTTTATTGTAAAATGTTTTGAGTGCAGAACATTAGCATTAAATCGAAAATGGTTAAACTTTATCAACATTGTAATATGTTGTTGTGACTTTTTGGTAATATATAGTATTGTTCTTCACTAAATTACAGTTATAAACTAGAAAAACGTCTATTTTATATGCAAAGAATGCCTTTTTTCTTAGTCACATTTTCTTTGAAAAACCCGGACCGTTTGTTAAAAAATATAGACGTTTTAAATAAAATGCTATCGAAAAAACACGGACAATGTAAAAAGCTGAATTTTTAGTGAAATTCAAGAACATTGTGCTTAGTTTGTGCTCAAATATGTATAGTATTCAGAATAAGATAAACAGTCATGAATAAAACGAATATACTTGCAAAATAGCAGTAAATCGATCTAATCGCATATAATATAACTCGAAAAAAGTGGACCGATTTAAAAAAAAAACACGATCTCAGCCGGACACTATACCTACCGTGTAATGGCTCAGTGCCAAGCCTGGTTACTTTTACATATTTGAATAAATCTACCCGGCTGATTCATACAAAGGTATCCGTGAAGTAAGTACAATTTTTAGACAGTTAATTTTTCCTTAGTATTTGGTACAAAATGATTATGAATAATACGTTTTCAGTGTTTTCAGTGACACAAGAATTTGTTTTGCCTTTCATTAACTAATTTAAAAATGAAATCTTAACAGTCATATTGAATAAATGATAAGAACACGAAATATATGTGTAATATAGAATAAATGTCATACATATCTAAAATAAAACTTTTTTTTTATTGAAGGATCACCCTAAGAAATGAGACGACACAGATGGCCGTTGACACATTTTATCATTTATAATAAACTCTTTGTGAAACGGTCATTTAACTGTCCATATCAATTCAGAAATATAACAGAGTTCTGTAAAAGAAGCTCAAAATGGAACGTGTGACCTAATTTGAAAGTCCACATAATATTTTGAAATGTGCAAAACGGAAAAAACGTTTCGATAGAAAAGGTAAGTCTTTCAATTTTGATCGATCGTCACTGATGAATCTTTTGTAGACGAAACGCGCTTCCGGCGAACAAAATTTTGATCCTGGTATATATTTATGAGTTTATTCATAAACTTTTTTGTTTGAAACAATCGACTCTACATTATATTATGTTTATTAAAAGGCCTTATTAAGAAAGCAAAATGGGAATCGGCATCCTCGGGTGATTCCGCTACTCTATTAGGAGGAACAGATCGGCGGAGTTAAGACGCATGCGCAAAATAAGAAACGAACCGCCATCTTGCTAAATTCATAAAAGTGTAAATAGAACTTTTATCCAGTGACTGTTTTAGTTAGAACTGGTACCATTTTATTTATATTTCTAAATCTTTTTTGAGCGGTTTTGTCCCTGCTAGGTTTCAATTCACTCAATCATTATCATTTCATACACCCGACGTAGTTATCGAACACGAAACACACAGTGACCTATACCGCTTTCAAGTTCAGGGACCGAAGTAGCCACGATAATTACTAGGTGTAAATCTCAAGAACAGAGGCAGTCAAACATTGACACTAGCTGTATACAATGTAGATAAAAATGTGAAAAATGATGCATCAATCCCATATGCACCTAACCTCGATTGAGCCAGGTAAGGCAAAATGAAGGCAGCAAGTAGAAATAGCCAAATTAGTGTTGAGGTAAACCATGCCAATTTATTACTTGAGCTCTCAGCGACATGATATGAGGAAATTATGTCCGTAGTCAAAGGATGTCTAGTCTAAAAATATATCCTTATTAAGAAAGCTAAATGGGAATCGGCATCCTCGGGTGATTCCGCTACTCTTTTAGGAGGAACAGATCGGCGGAGTTAAGACGCATGCGCAAAATAGGATAAGACCTGGTAAGGGAACCGGCATGGTTGACGCCATCTTGCTAAGCTCATAAAAGTGTAAATAGAACTTTTATCCAGTGACTATTTTAGTAAGAACTGGTACCATTTTATGCATATTTCTGAATCATTTTTGAGCGGTTTTGTCCCTGCTACGTTTCAATTCACTCAATCATTATCATTTCATACACCCGACGTAGTTATAGAACACGAAACACACAGTGACCTATACCGCTTTTAAGTTCAGGGACCGAAGTAGCCACGATAATTACTAGGCGCAGATCTCAAGAACAGAGGCAGTCAAACATTGACACTAGCTGTATACAGTATAGATAAAAATGTGAAAAATGATGCATCAATCCCATATGCACCTAACCTCGATTGAGCCATGTCAGGCAAAATGAAGGCAGAAGTAGAGATAGCCAAATTAGTGTTGAGGTAAACCATGCCAATTTATTACTTGAGCTCTCAGCGACATGATATGAGGAAATTAAGTCCGTAGTCAAAGGTTGTCTAGTCTCCAAATATATCATTTATGATACTACCAATAAAACCGATAGAAATGGCCTAGTCGTTGAGGAACACATATTAGTAAGAATCTGAATAAAAACAACAGTATAGAATAAACTGTAATATTATCAGTAGTAGAATTCTAATCAATGAAAACGCTTTGAAACTGTTTTATTTTCCATTGGTTGATATAGTCTAACGTTTGATTTTGGCAATTTTTATGAACTTCCTCCTTTTTAGCTCACCTGGCCAAAAGGGGCAAATAAACTTTTCTCATCACTTGGTATCCGTCGTCCGCCGTCGTCCGTTCACTCTTATAAAAGTCTTCTCCTCTGAAACAACTAAGCCAAATTTGACCAAACTTAGTCACAATGAACATTTGTGTATCCAGTTTAAAAAAATTGTCCGATGACCCCGCCTGCCAACTAACATGGCCATCATGGCTTAAAAAGAACATAGGGATAAAATGCAAGTTGTGTCTATTAATTTGAAAACCACTATGAATAGAGAAAATCTGACGGAGGTAAAATTATCAGAATGTTGAGATCTACATATTGTTAGTTTCCATCAAAACTCTCGGACGACTTCTTATAGGAGCTATTGCCCTTAATTGGCCAATTTTATAATTTTCCTTTTCTTTTTTGCCTATTATCTTAATATCTATAAAAGATAAAGACAAACTTTAAATAGCAAAAATAATCAGCAAGACAGGATCTAAAATAAGCTAAATGGACGAACTTGTCAGATGACTCCTTATTATAGTTCTTGCTCTTTCATGATGAATTTTACCAATATTTTGCGTTTTTGCCTAATATCTTAAAAAAATCTCCTCCTAAACTGGTACACTAATTTTAACAAACCTTGCGCACAATCATTATTAGGGTATCAAGTTTTAAAAAAAATGTCTGATGACCCCGCCTGTAACCTAACATGGCCGACATGGCGAAAAATAGAACATATGGAGTAAAATGCAAGTTTTGTCTTTTATCTTGAAAACCGATATGAATAGAGAAAATCTGACTGGAGGCAGAAGCGTTATAAATGTTGAGAACTACCTGCTGTCCATTTACGTCAAACAAGTTTTTCTCATAGGAGTTATTGCCCTTTAATGCCAAATTTTACCAATTTATTTTCTTTCATTTTTGCTTGTTATTTTGAAAACTATAATAGATAACGAAAAACTTTAAATCAAGAAAAATTATCAGCAAGAAAAGATCTTCAAAAAAGTCAAATAGATGAAATCGTCTGAGTTATTACTCTTTAATGACGATTTTTACCTTTTCTGGGGCATTTTTGCCTTTTATCTTGAAAATTATAATAGATATATAGAAACTTTAAATAGCAATTATGAGCAGCAAGACAAGATCTACAAACAAGCCATCATGGCTTAAATCTTAGGTCGACTAGTTACTGTAGTTATTCCTCTTTAAAGATGATTTTTACCATTTAATTTTTGATTTTGCCCTTTATCTTGAAAATTATAGTAGATACAAATGTTGATAGAAACTTTAAAAAGCAAAATTGATCAGCAGGACAAGATCTACAAATACGTCAACATGACTGAAATTGTCAGTTAACTCTTTATATAGTTATTGCCCTTTCATGATGATTATTATAAAAAAGTGGCCATTGTTGAAGTAACAGGTGAGCAACACAGGCTATTCAGACCCTATAGTTAAATTTACCTTGGAGTTCGATTTTTCTTGTTAATACTTTTTAATGCTTAATATTCTACTTGAAGTAGTAAACATACTGAGTCTAAACAAAAGCTTTGATAAACTGACTTCTTTAATTAAGCAAACGTATGGTAAATTAAATTGCTAGTGTACATCTGATAGTACTTACGCCAACTGTACAAATAGAGAAATGAAAAATAGACAGGGTCACATTACCAAGGCCTCTTCAAAACAGACCGTATCCAAAATAAAACATAAAATACCACTACCACTCTACGTCTATTCTTGCGAGATTGGCACACTACAGTAGCCAGTTAACTATAAATGACAATACCATTGCAAAAATAGTCGTTACGTCCACTAACAGGAGTCCGTCAACCGAAACTGATAGTACCGAACCGAAATCATTTAAGGAAACTATCATAAATGGCATACCTACACGAGTGACAAAACAACATATGCTAAAATAATACAGTATACCGACTCCAAGGCAATATGTCCTAAATGCCATACTTAATGCAACACCAACTCAGTGGAATGTTGTATCTGTACTCACTGGTTTCACTACACTTGTTTTAACCTTCTACTTAAGGAATCAAAAGCACTCGGGATGTCAAATAGCTTATATATGTGTCGAGGCTATGTACAAATGCAAGACCTCGAGCTCTTTGACTGATACCTAGCTGTCAATATATTATCTATCATCATTTTCACACCGACAACACTGAATAATTATATAAAAACAGTAACGCTTTGTTCATGGCTGTAGATAAAACCACAAGCAATACTCAAGATGCCGTGTTGGACTCTACCAACAAGAAACGTAACAGGTCGTAAAAATCTGCCCATAGCAATGCACAACTGGTTCATGCAAGCGAATCAGTACAACAAAATTCAGCTTCTTGTGTAGAACTCGTACAAAAACACAGCATGCCTCGACAGAATATTGAGTTTGTGCATAAGTCTGAATTACATAGCAAGGAAAACAGCTCCAATCGATTGAGGGTAAATTAAGTAAAACTTAATTGGACCTCAATCAAACAAAGAAACAACTTGCTGCTGCAAAAGTACTCATTGTCAAATTAGAAGATAAATGTAAAGACATGGAAGAGATCGACACTAATCGTAATCAAAACACGAACATTTTATTGTTGGAGTGTATTCATAACAACGATAACGGACACCATTCTAAAAGTAACTCCAGTGCGCTACATCAGAGTAGTTGTACCACAAAAGTCAGTAACCCAATGATGCAGATATACTAGCATGAACAGCGAATTTGCCAGCTAGAACTTGAGAATGTCCGTATCGCCTGCTGGATGGACAGCAAAAAAAAATCCGGTTAAAATCGAAAACCTGTCAAATCAATTAAACTGAAACCACTGTAGATGTATAAAATGGAAACATTGTCATGGATAAGGATGAAACATTAAAAAAAATAGTAGTCACAGATCTCATGACACTAATGAACACACACACAACCTGCCAAAACTGAAACTATGAAACCTTCAGGTATTGATAACTTAAAAACAGACAACACTGAGACGTCTGAAGCTAGGAAACTTGATTGAAAACCAAGCGAGCAACAGCCATTATTTTGCACAAATAACCAACCTTTTTTAAGTAATGTACCAAACATAAAAAACCGCTCTGGGTGAAACAGAGCCGCCATCAACTAACACTAATGGTATATCGGCAACTGCAAATTATCTGCCAATATAAGATAATAGTAGCAAATCCACTTCTACCCCAGCAAATGATCAGACAACCTATTCCAACAAACTCCGTAAATTTAGGCTGGTATTCTACATCAATGGTTTCCGTTCCAGTAAACCGTGTCTTATGCTATTGAAAAAAAATGTAAGATATTCTCATTTTACAGGAGATTTGGTTATAAATGGAAATGAAAACTTTTGACAAATTACATTTTGTACATATGTCATGTCA